CCCCTCCTCCATTGCCGGCCCTCTTCCTTGTTGACAGTCTTGTCAAACTGGTTGAAAACAACAATTCAATTTCCTCCCTCAGTTTAAATCTTGACCAGTCTGTGTTTTTTGTCTGTTTATATTATTTCATGTTGGGGGTTTTGGTGTCTCGTATTGAGTTTTACTTGTGTTTTCATTTTCCCTGTCTTCATTTGTGCCTCCTCTCCGCAGTTCCTCTGTTATTCCAGTCAGCCTTCCACACCCACTACACTTGATCCTCATTTCCCAGTAGTCTTAGCTGTGGTCAATCTCCCACTTATCCTTGTCTTTATATTTTGTGTCTTGTTAACACGTCAGCGGAGCATTGTTGGTATCATACCAAAGTTTGCTTTGTGCCTACATGTTTCCTTCTGAGTTTTTGTACGAAGCAGCCATGTCATTTGATTTTGTTAAAATAAAGTTAAGTTAATCTGAGCTCCTGGACTCTGCCTGGGTCCAATCCATACTGCGTATGCCTAAATCACATGGACAAGGAAGTTACGAGTAACAGATTTTTCAATGCCATTCTGTAATATTGAAAGTGACTTGTGTCTTTAAACTGAATCAAACTGAATCAAATTTAACTTTTATTTTAGCCAGGATGGCATGATATATATATAAAGATTTCAAAAAGTGTTATTTCAGATTTAATCAGAATCTGGATCGCCTTTATTGGCCAAGTTTGGGGCACAAACAAGGAAGTTGACTTTGGTTTCGTACTCACAGCTTGCAGACATTAAGTACCAGTATATACAAACTTAGAGGAAATAGAATAAAGGATAAAAAAAAACAGTATGCACATGTCTAAATATGTACAGCCAATTTTCTCCTTCAAATTTTTTCTTCAATATATTTAAAAGAGAGCAAAAAAGGTTAAATTGTGTCATCTGGACCAGTTTCTTTAAGTGAAAAATGTTTCATACCCCATCCAGAGGACTTGGTCAGTCTGTGGCCTGCCAACCAGATCTGTCCCACAGGTAGCCTTTATTGCTGTTTCAAGCCAACCACCTGTTGGAATCTCAGAAGGACACTTTTAACACGTGCAAAACACACTCATCCAGAACAATCAATCATCATGTACATCTATCAAATGTTTTAGGCCAGATGGTCAACTGGCTACTCAGAGAAACAGCCTGAGGCCAAAGTGGTTCAGAACAAGGTTTGTAAGCTCAATCATCCAGGTAGATAACAACAAAAAAGGGTAAATCATGTCATCTGGACCAGTTTCTTTTTGTTGTATGTAATGATTGATTGTTTTGGATGGCCAACCAACAACTGTTGCCTGCTTATGTCAAAATCGTCACCTCGGCGCGGTTTGCTTGAAATCATCAGGAAATGCCCAGTGCTTTCTTTGTCTTTTGAAGCTGAAAGAGCCTATTTACATCGTCCTCAGTGGTCTTTGGTGCAGGCGTAGGGGAGAGGGGAAGGGGTTGTAAAGTTGTTGGTAGGCTTGTAGAGCGCTGGGGTGTAGGTATTGTGTGTTGGTGAATGGGTTAGAAATGTGTGAATGGTTGGTTTTCAAACCTGCAAAAGAAGCTGTTTAGGTTGTCAGCCAGTTGGGGGTCATCACAGCGTTGGGTGGATGGGCTCCTGTAGTGAGTGATGTCATGCAGGCTCCTCCAAACTGCAGCTGGACCGTTAGCTGAGAAGCTGCTTTTCAGCTTCTCACTGTAGCTAGCTGCCCTGATCTTTTCGGTCTTTTTTTTTTCTTGCCTGCTTATACAGGACCTGGTCCCCACTGCTGTAAACCACTTCTTTGGTCTGACGCAACTTCCATAGATGTGAAGTGAACCATGGTTCGTTGTTGTATGTGCAAAAGGTCTTGGTCTGAGATCTGTGGTCCAGAGAGTGAAGACGTTTTGCCATTAATAAGTACGATTCCACTCGGCTCTTGACTTACCAGTTCTTCTCAGTTGTAGGTGATTTGCCACTATGACTTGTTTTTCCACTCTGTAGGTGGGAACATCAATGCAAAGTAACAATTGTAACATTTCATTATTTAATTTTACCTTTATTTAACCAGGCATAAACACTAAGAACAAATTCTTATTTACAGTGCTGGCCTGGCAAGCACCAACAGGCATTTGTAAGGTCAAGGAAAGGGAAACAACAGGTCATAGTGTTCGAGCCACTCCACCTCTTGTGGTCCTTAAAAGCTCTATAATCTGACTTAAAAATTATTTAAAGGTGGTGGTGGTGGGGGGTGTGGGGGGGGAAGACATGTCACAGTGGCAAATCACCTACACCTGAGAAGAACCGATAAGACGAAAACTGAGTGGAGTCACACTTATCAATGGCAAAGCGTCTTTTTTCAAGATCTGAGTGAATACGGGGGCGAATTGATCAATGCAGGAATTCAGGCAGAAGGAGGAGAATACCATCAAGTTCTAGAGCAGGGCTATTCAACTGGCAGCTCTGTGGGCCACTTGACTTCAGTCTGGCCCACCAACGAAAAAAAACTAATATTTTTGGTTCTGGGTTTCGGTTTTTGGTTCTGTCTATTGCATTTATGATTCAATGCAATAAAACAAACAAATTTATAAGGTAACAGATCAATGTAATACTTGGTTTATTTACATAATGACATTAATTGCTGGATGTCCGGCCCCTGAGCTGCTGACTTTCAGTAATGTGGCCCCCTGAGCAGTTTTGTTGAATAGCCCTGTTCTAGAGTTTTCCTGGCATTTTGATGCTGCAAGAGCCTGTTTACATTTTCTTTATTGATCTTTAGTGCAGGCAGGGGGTCAGAGGGGAGAGGGGAGGGGTTTGTGTAGTTGTTGATGGGGGGGTGTAGGTAGTCCTTTTGTGTGAGAGTGGCGTAGGAGAATGGGTTAGACATGTGAATGGCTGGTTTTCAAACCGGCTGCAGAAGAAGCTGTTTAGGTCGTCAGCCAGTTGGGGGTCATCACAGCGTGGGGTGGAGGGGCTCCTGTAGTGAGTGATGTCATGCAGGCTCCTCCAAACTACTGAGTCGTTAGCTGAGAAGCTGCTTTTTAGCTTCTTGCTGTAGCTTCTCTTTGCTGCCCTGATCTCTGGTCAGTTTTTTTCTTGCCTGGTCTCTACTGCTGTAAGCCTCTTCTTTGGTATGAAGCAGACCAGAAAAGCTCATGGAGAAATATGCAGTATGCTTTCTTCAAGACTATTTAACAGCCCAGTGGGACACTTTACATCCTGTTTGTATTTTGCTAGTTCATTGGAGAGGTTTGCATTGTTAAAAGACCAAAGAACAATGATGAGAGGGTCTGGATGTTTTTCGCCTTGTGTGCTATCAGCTCAGCGAGCTGTTTTTCAGCCTCTGATGTGCACGCTTGTGGAGGAATGTAAACAGTGACCTAAATAAACAAGAACTCCCTCGGTGAATAGAAAGCCTTACAGTTTATAAAAAATGACTCCATGAGGGCTACATGTCTTATTGTGACATCAGTGCACCAAACTTTGTTTACAGAAAAACAGATTCCACCTCGTGTCTTTTTCCTCAAGAGCGACGCGCTGCAGTTTGCTCAAAAAACAGTTGGAAGCCCATTATTTGAAGTGTGCTGTCCAGAATGAGTTCACTGAGCCAGCTTTTGGTGAAGCTCTCTGTAAATTGTAGTTTAATTTAAAATAATTGGGTTATATTGTTCTTCTTATGTATGTGTGTGCAACTATTTTATGAACCAGTAAAAATCCCCAGGTTATGATTATGGTTCATGAATGGTAGATGCTGACTAGTAGTTGCAGGACCTGAATGCAGGCACACAGGGTTCAGACTCAGGAACAAACATGTCCTTAAAATTGTAACTAAAGCAAACCGCAAACACAAAACCACCAAAATACATGTGTAAAAGTCAGAGAAGCTGATAAAGAGCTGAGAAAAACCAGGGAGTGTGCAGTGTATTCTGGGAGATATAATTACTGAACGACAACAGGTGTGCTGATTACGAACCAAAAACAAGTGGTATGTAAAGAAACATCCAGTGACTGAACAGCAGGCAAAAATCTAAATATTCAATAGACAATATATATATA